AAAAAAAAAAAAAATTGAATGTTTAGTTAAACATGTGACCATGGACATATAGTTGTCCATGAATTTTTTTCTCATCCATTGTATTATTTGTAGGATTATTTCTTTGAAAGGAACAGCAAACTCAAGCTCAAAATGGCTTAGACAGTAAGGAAATTCATTGCTTTATGGGACTAGAAAGTTGGTTAAACAAGAATGAAAAATTCACTGAGGACATATCTATACTGCTAGTAACAAATGTCTGATGGCAGCTATCAACACGGCATACTGAAGACCAGTATGGTGGTTAGGGAGCTCATGGGGGAGAGTGTCGCCCCTCCACTAGGGTAAGTCCTGAGCTTTGCTGTGTTTAGAAAACTTAAAACCATTCAAAGTCCATGACCAGGGAATGTCAAGGGCCAACTAAGTCAGGCCAATCTTTGTGGCAACAGGGCTACATTTGGTGGTTTCATGAATCAGCGCCCCACCTCTCCAGGGGAGGTGTTGACTATGCCATCTCAAACCAAGAGCTACCACTCTGTGGTGTAGGAGAGGAATGACTCTTGGGGGGAGAACCGCCCCATCTGTAAATGATAAAGTTGAGCTGCCTAACCTCTAAGACTCTTTCCAGATCTAAACCAGCTGTGATTTTTGTGAGCAGAGTGCAAATCTGTCTCTCTAGTCGCCCTTTTTACCTAACGCTACATTTGTTGTTGTTTTATATTATAGTTGTTCTTTGCTACTCCTGCCAACATTGGCACTTGTAGAAGATAACCCCCATAGTGAAGCCAACCAGCCACTGCATACCTTAGATTTGGGATTTGAGTTGGCAGAGAAAGTGATGTTGAAAAGGTAACTCTGGAGGGTCGTGACAAGGTGACTCTGTTCAGTTCAGGCAGAATGAAATCATGCCTGATTCATACAGTCACCAGGTGAACCTGCCAGTTTGGGGTGAATGACTCAGAACTGTTGGTCCCTTGGTGGAGGCAATGTTTCCCAGGCTCTAAAGCTTGCTTTCTAGAGAATGCACAGCTCTTTGGGAAAGGAGGAAAATCTCATAATCATATTTTCCCTCTGATTTACAGTTTTAAGAAAGGTTTAGTACTAAAATTCTTAACACTGGCAAATCTCTCAAGTCTCTCGAGATAGTGGTCAAGGATCAGTAGAAAACATTTTTGAAGAGAAATTAGGCTGTGGACTCCACCTTCCTGACCCCCCCCCCCCTACTTTGGTAAATACTATTTTTTCTTATTTTTTTAATATTGTACTGAGAATTTTGCCAGTTGATTTCTAGAAGCTGACTTATGAACTAATTGGGCACTTCTACTGTGCAAAGGAACAAAGACTTTTTTTATTGGTCCTCAACTAAGGCATATACCTGTCTGATGTCGTTGGCTCATTCTGCACATGCTCAGTTGAACAGAAATCTTCATATTGAATACAACCTAGCACAGGGGCAACACCCAGAAACTCACTCCTTGACTGACCCTGTGCATTCACTCCCTCTAGTTGCATTTTTAGCCAGACATGTCTAATATTTCTAGGCGCATAGGGATCAGAGTAGGTACTGGCGACTTGGGGGGGGGGGGAGGAATGTACAATAAGACTTAAAGTCTCAAATTTGTCCCTGCCTTCCTGAACAGTCTCTAGGCTGTGTCGAGTGGGAGTAGATCCTGGACAGACATTTGTCGAGTTTGGGGCAGGATGTGGAGAAGCTGTCGCTATAAAAGACCATTTGTTGTCGCACATCTCCTCGGACAGTTTTTGTTTGGTCTTTTTCTTGTAGGTGGACGACTCCCCCTCCCCAGCCCTCCTTCCCATTAAGGAATGACAGCGTGGCACCAAAATAAATCAGCCGCCTAGCAGGGTGTTGAATGGCCACCTCTCCACTTCTCTTCTCGCTTTGCCATTCATTAGGACCCAGTCCCGACCTCTTTCCCCGGCAAAAACCGGGAAAGCCTTTCCGAGGTTACAAAAGAAGGGGACCGAGAGCAAGGGACCGAGAGCAGCAAGGGTGGCGAAGCTCTCGCCCTAGATAGTCGAGAATGTGCCTTCAGTCGTGGACCTTTTGTCCCGACCCCTTCCGCAGCTTGGTGGCGGAGGTGACGACCCTGACCGGCCCCCGCCTAAGCAGCTGCAGCCCGAGCGCCCCACAGGCCAACACCCCCCCGCCCCTTCCAGATTCCCGGCGCCCGCCGGTTCGCCGTGACGTGGCCGGCGGCGCGCGCATGCGCCGCTCAGCCCCCGTGCCGGTTCCCTCGGCCTCGGCCTCCCGCCGGGCTGGAGTGGGCGGGGCGTGCGGTTCTGGAAGCCGCGCGGCCGTGGAGGGAGGAGGGCGTGTGTGCGCGAGGCGGGTGCGCGGGGCTCGCGAGTTGGTCGGAGGCTGAGGAGGAGGAGCTGAAGGCGGTGGCCGCGGCTCCCGCCCGCACGGAGGACCAGTCCCGAGAAGCCCCCTCCCACTCCCAGGCGGGCGGCGGCGGGAGGAGAAGGAGGAGGAAGCGTCTCTGCCGCCGCCTCCTGGTCCCCAGCGCCGATCTGCCGCCGCCACCTCCCTCCGCGGCGATCCTCCCTCCATGGTCCTGCCGCGGCCCCCCCTGTAGCCCGAGCTGCCCCGCGCCGCGCCGGAGCCAGCCTCGGTAGAGGGAGCGGTCGCGGCCTCGC